GTGTTACAGCACTTTGCTCCTCCCCCTCTCATCACTGTCTTGCACCGTCACTCGCCTCAGCAGTGCCAGCCAAACAAGAAATATTTATTGTGATGTGCTCATTTAAATTCATTGTCTTAAGATTTTGTTTTATATTGCTTTGGTTCTTGATGTTAAATAAAACTGTTGACCTTTTTTTTGTATTCTTTTTATATTATAATAATAAAAGGAAAAATTACAAAAACACCAAAAGGTCAACAGTTTTAAACATTAAACATCAAGCCTAAATATAGAAAAAGTATCGGTATTGATAACAGTGATTTTGGACTCGTGTCCTTGCCAAGTATGTTCTTGAGAAGAACACAGGAAAGTATGGACTTGGTGAGAACGGGAGCACACAGCAGAATTATTACTTAACTAACTAAATTATTACTATTTTCATTTAATGGGGGAAAAATTAACACAGTCAGATAAACACAATCAAAAGAACATTTTGCCAGATAAAACAAAAAAATCGCCATCAGAGCCAGCGGTACTTCACACACGGCTATGCCTAGAGAGGGCTGCTGCAGACGGACTGCGGTTAGCCCTGGCTGCCGTTACCCTCTGAGGTCCACTGGTTGCTGCAGTCCTCTCAACTTCGGAATTTTTTTTTTTAATTACACATTAAATCGGTAAATGTATGATATAGTGACGCTTTAAAGTATAATATTCTCGCCTCAAACGATAAAGTTCATTATTTTTCATAATGTAATGATAAAACTTGAACATTCATATATTTTAGATTCAGTTCCTTTATTGTCCTAATAAAGATGATTTTGGCATACAGCCATGAAAACCGATAATGCCTATCTCAAAAAATTAGCATATGATGAAAAAGGTCTCTAAACAAGCTATGCACCTAATCATCTGAATCAAGAAATTAACTCTAAACACCTGTAAAAGATTCCTGAGGCCTTTAAAACTCCCAGCCTGGATCATTACTCAAAACCCCAATCATGGGTAAGACTGCCGGCTTGACTGCTCTCCAGAAGGCTGTGATTGACAACCTCAAGCCAGAGGGTATGACACAGAAAGATATTTCTGAACGAATAGGCTGTTCCCAGAGTGCTGTATCAAGGCACCTCAGTAGGAAGTCTAAGGGAAAGGAAAAAGTGTGGCAGAAAATGCTGCACAACGAGAAGAGGTTGTATGGAAGATTGTGGAAAAGGGTCGATTCTAGACCTTGGGGGACCTGCGGAAGCAGTGGGCTGAGTCTAGAGTAGAAACATCCAGAGCCACCGCTCACAGGCATGTGCAGTAAATGGGCTATAGGTGCCGCATTCCCCAGGTCAAGCCACTTATGAACCAGAAACAGCGGCAGAGGCGCCTGACCTGGGCTACAGAGAAGCAGCTCTGGATTGTTGCTCAGTTTGGCATGCAGGTTCATTGAGAAATAAAAATTGTGCTATTGTATGTTGGGTTCTTGAATTCCAAAACATTCCTGTACAAGTGTCGAAAACCACATATGTGGCAGAGCAAGGGCTTGTTGTGAGATCCTGCATTTACACACTTTTTAAAAGTTAAACACGGCTCATTGGGAATGCGAGCATGTCTCCCTGCAGGGCAACCTATGCCACGTTCACAACTAATGGGATTTCGGCAGGAAAGAAGCGTCTGCCGCTTCATTTTTTATGCTTGTACACATTAAGGTGAGACGCACCTCAAGAGCATCTTTGAGCAACTCCTGAAGCACAACCATTGAAGTGTGTACTGATCCGTCTGATGCTTTTACTGCTCCTTTGTTAAATGGCAGAGAGTGGTTTTGCTATATTTGTTGTAATAAGTTGGTAAAAAGTAGCTTTAATATATTTTTAAGTGGTGGATGTCCTTATGTGTATGGAGGGGATCTAATCAGGACAGCCTTTGTGTCTTTAGAAATACACAGGATATGGGCACATCTTGGAGCCGGTCTGATAAAGGTGAGCTATCTGTAATTCTAGGGCATGGAGGCAAGATGCATACAGTTCAGGGCATTGATGGCGTGTCAGTTTCTGATACGGACAGCTGAGCTTCCACCTGATGCAAAACATGGACTCATGGGGTATAAGAAGGAGGAGATTACCTTGTTTGGGGCTCAATCTTTGCCAGACGCTCGCTGACGATTTTGAGCCCACAGCTGTGCAAGCTCCAAGCATTTTCTCTGTCCTGTAACAACCTGTTCTGGAATAAACTCTGTTACTTTTTTACTCCTGTTTTACCCAGTTTGAGTTAAAAGTAGTAAACAACTTGCTCCCAGGAAAAGAACCGGTAGGGAAGTCCCGAGGCGCGACTGCCTTCAGGGGGACATAACTTCCACATTTAACATCCGTTAATAAACTGTTTTAGGGGAGTTAAACATTCTGCCATTTAACAAAGTGATCTGCATCAACGCCGCTGTGTCTCTCTCCCTTCTCGCTCCCAGATCAGCTTCTCTGATTGGTTGATGTGGTGCATCAAGCAGCAAAAGTTAAAATATTCCAACTCCAACATCCGCTGCTTGTGAAGCTCGTCACATGCCTCAGCTGCTCAGGTGTGCATTAACCATTGACTTTTCATGTAAACGGCTGCTTCATCA